TGGATTAGGACATGCAATATATATAGTGGCGGAGCCTACAATAGATCAATAATAAAACTGTGATATTCTTTTATACGTTACTCAACGATTAATGTAACATCAATAAACTTTGTATTTTAATTGGTGTATAAGAGATCCTATTTTACCAGTTACTACATCTTTTATTATTGAGTAAACAACATTTTTCCACCCAAGGTTTGGCAAATCTGCCAGTTCCCACCCCTGGTTTCATAATTTGTAGATTCATACCCTTAAATTAACACCATTACTTTTTTCTCAAAATAACTCCCACATCTCAAATTTCTCTCAAATAACCCCTAGAGGATCCCAGCCAAGCCAAAATTCTGGCTTGATTCCAATACCATTGGACCTCCGTGACACCACAATTAGCATCTCCTTATCCTCCTTACCAAAACCCCTAACTTTTCCACCTGATTGCACCCCGACGAGGTGCGGGAATTTGGCTGGAAAGGTGAGACAAAACGCAAAAACCTAAGGGAGAGGCGACGATGATTGACGGAAAATTGTTGTCAACGATGTTGGGGGTTTTGATAGGGGAAGCCAGTGATGCTATTGGTGGTGTTAGGGGTCGTTTCCAATACCAAGACCTGCCAGAATTTAGATGAAACGCTGACTAAAACTAAGAGCGGTAGCCGGCTATTGGGGGGTTCAATCAAGAGGGGAGGTTAGGGGTTTTGATGTGGGGGTTGAGGGGATTGTAATGGTGGTGTCAGGAGAAGTCGTTGCACCGGGAACTGGCCGAAATGGCCTGAAATCACTGGTGGGGTGAATTTGAGAAGTCAAGGGTTATTTTAAAATTTTTCGATGGGGTGAATTTGAGAAGTGAAAGGTTATTCTGAAATTTTTATCTTTAAAATAACTATTTTACCCTTTTAACTGTTAGATTAAACAGTTTTCTGTTAATTTAAGGATGAGAATCTATAATTTATGAAACCAGAGATGGGAACTAAAATTAGCCAAACTTTGGGTGGGAAAATGTCGTTTACTCTTTATTATTAGTGTAATGTGAACGAATTAATTATCACAACATTTGAGAGATGAGCTCTCGCATCTAAATGCAAACAAAATCAACAAAATTTATCAAATTCCTAATGCAAGAAATTTGGATGTTTTTTTTTTTTTTCCCATTTAAAAACAAAAAAAAAGAAAATCAATATCTAAGAATTTTTTGTATTTATTTAAAAAATGAAATATAATTAATCAAGAATAGCGAGGGTCCATAATGTTCCCCAACCACCCGTAACTCCCGTATGGCAGCTGAAAATGAATTAATACAAGAGTTCCGATTTGAACGAAAATTGAAACGTGCCGTATGGTAATAAATTACTTAAGCATATGTTACTTTCATTTATGATTTAGAAAAGAAAGACACGTCTGTTCCACGTCACTTTTGGATAGGCTAAGAATATTTCACTTTTTTTTTTTTTAAATCAATTCTGTCCCTACATTACTATTTACCACACTCCCAATTTTACTATTATACCCTTACCAATTTACTTTTATTATGTTTATTTAATTCCATTTAGTAGTAAAATTGCTCATCCAGTTGTGCTAGAAGAATGAAGGCAGTTATTTATCATCTTATAAATATTTAGAATTTAATGTCCTTCAATACACTCGTATTATTTCCACGTGACAATAGCTATAAAATTTAGATTTAATGCTTCCAAAATTTGTCAAATACTTTCATAATTAATATATTTTCCGAAGTGATAATAATTATTTATGTCAATTTTTAAAATAGAAGAAGGTATGGCTTAAGCCAAAGGTTACTGTAATTGTCCTTCACAGAATATGCTTTTTTTTGGTGCTATTTCTCATTTCATTTTTACTGTTCAGAACGTGAACTGGATTTGTACCTACTCTACCCTCCTTTTTCCTCATTTTCACATATTTCGTTTCTTTCTTTCAGAATAAAAGAAGGGTTAGCTTCTATACCCAAGCGCCAAACCATTTTTAAAAATTATGAAATAACCCCTATAACTGCTAAAATCCTTTTAACCTACAAAAAAAATCCCTAAAAATCCTATACAAACATTGGAAACACCATTGTATATAAAAATTAGAGTGAACAAATCTGGTCCGATTCGGTATTTTGACCTAAAACATAAACACATAATACATAATAATATTCTATATGATACAAAGGGTTTGAATTTTCTTGTCCACCCTTTTACCAATTATTACCTTACCATATAGTTTATTTTATTTTTTATTTTAAAAAAATAGATATCTTTTCAATTATGCATAATAACTTCAAATAAAAAAAATTTATAAAAAGCATTAATGAATATCTTACATTGAAGTCATTATAATTATATTCAACAACTATATATATAGTAAATGAGTAATTTAGGGTCCGTTTGGTTTGTTGTTTTGAATATGATTTTGGATAGTTGAATAAGGTGATTATTACGAGATAAAATTTAAAAATTAACAAAAAAAACCCCCTAGGTTTGCTAATTTAACTAAACACCTTAATATATAAAAATTGTGTAAAATGATAAAAATACCCCCATCCACCCACAGTGCCAGATTCCGACCACCACCGCTGGAATTTGGTCAGAATCTGGCATTACGACGCAGACCGGTTGGATCTGGCCGAACGTGCGTCGATTAAGTCGTCAACGGCCAGATCTGGCCGTCATTGTCGGTCAATGATGGTCAAGAGTTAGTTGTCGTTGACCGTCAACAACGACCATTTCTTCATATCTGGCCTTTTCCTGCCAGATCGGCGAATTACCGGCTAGTTTCTGTCGTTTGTAGGCCGTTGTGACAGATTCTGGCAACCACCGACGGTGGTTGCTGGAATCTGACAACTATGGATGGGTAGGGGTATTTTTGTTAATTTTTAACCTTTTTTCTGGGGGTGTTTAATGAAATTAATAAACTTAAGGGGTTTAAAAAATTAAAAAATATAATAGTATTTCCTAAATAATTAAACAAACAGTTATTTTGAGAATATGATTGAAAAAAATGTATGAAATAATAAACCAAACGGACCCTTAATTACCTTTTTTTAACCAAAAAATAAATTGCATAGCTAACAATATCATATGGAATTTAAATGTGTAATTTAGTAAATAAATACATTAAAATTAAAATGAGACTTCATAACATAATAAATAATAAATTCATAATATAGAATATAAAACTTGAGATCGTCGATATAATTAATATAGATTCGCAACATAACATGTGACACCTTTTTTTTTTTTTTTTAATAAAACTGTTATATATATATATATATATATAACATGAAACATGTTTTTTTTGTAAACATTTTATTTCTCAACATTTTCTATCAATTGATTATTGATTAATTAGACATTTGAAACCCTCAAATGTTGGACCTAGTGGAAGAGAACTCATTTTTGACAATATCCCAGGTTCAAGTCACCACCGTGACGGGGCTTTTCGGGTCGGGATGGGGTAGGGGGTCCAAAGTCATTTTAACTATAAATATAAAAATAAAAATTAGGTAATTGAAGACAAAGGCCCACAAGAATTCCTCACCGTCTCTTTTAGCAACATAATTAAAAGATGTTTTATTATTGTTATCTCATGCTCCAACACTATCAATTATTTCAATTATAACATAAAATGCTATATTTGAATATATAACTAAATATCATTTTATTATCATTTAAATTTCTAATATTACCCATTTTTGAGTAAACAATTTTTTCCCACCCAAATAATAGCGTAATGACACTTTCCCATTTACAAACTTTTAAAATACTACTTTACCACCCAAATTTATATTTCTTTTCCGATTCTGGTATTGTTGCGACCCCACACCACCACCATTCTTTTCCCCGATCATCACTCACCAGAACCTCTCAAACCCTACTTCCACCGACCTTGCCAATTGCTGGCAAGTGAGCGATTAGAGTTTGCATAGCTGCCTCTCCCAAGTCAAATTTCGATCAATCCCAATCATTAAAATCCAACATTTCACCACCAAAAACTTATTAGTTCCCATTTTCTAAAGCCTCAACAGCCTGGACCAAGTTTGTTCTCTGTTTGCCATCGAAAATTAAATTTTGGTGGTAAAATAGTATTTTAAAAGTTTATAGGTAGAAAATTGTCATTAAACCATTATTTGGGTTGGGAAAAAGTCGTTTACTCCCCATTTTTGCATCAAAGGGAAAAAAAAAAAAATCCTGTTATAACTCTAGAAACAATCTTTTTGTTTGATAACAAATAGTATTTTCTATAGAAAATTATTGTTTTATATATAAAATAAAAGCAATTTTTCTACCTTCAAAATAATTAACAAATTTAAGATTCAAATGATGATGAAGTATCAAATTTATAATTGACATATAGTGTTAACACGTAATTATATGACTAGTAAATTATACATGATACTATGATCTATACATATTGAAAGATTATATACGTATTTGTAATGTTAAAAATATTTTATAACAAATATTCAGAGTATTAAATAATAAAGATAAATTATATCAAATAACCTCGATCTGAAAAACAGCACATCTATCAAAGTCTTTTAGAAAGTATACCTATTTCAAAATTTCACTATCAATTAGGTCAAATTATCATTTTTAACTAAAAACTAAGTGATGAATACTGACCTATCGGTTTTGAAGAATAAATCTATAGATAGAATATTATTTGTGAGGTTGGTTTGGTTTTTAGTTAAGAAAGGGTTGAAATTTTAAAATAGAGATATTTTCTGATAGTATTTCTCTTTATATATATATATATATATAGAAAGAGAAAGGAAAAATTTATACTAAAACATGAATTAAGCGATTGGATGATAAAGGGAGCGTTTGTCGGGTAAATTCAATTATGAATTTTTTGGGGAAATAATATAATTAATAATACAAATAAAAATAAAAAGTTTTACCGAGGAAGAAGAAGACAGCTCAACAGAGGTCCGACTCAAGCCAAACGCAATAGCCATCCTGACACTTTCTTATATCTTAACACTCAACAAAACAAACTCGCTATTTTCCTCTGTCTAAAAACAGCCCACTAACAATTTTTTTTTTTATTCATTTTAAGATTATCTTACTTGTCCACTCTTTTCATCTTTCCAATTACTTCTCTCACTTCTCCATTTCTATCTCCCCAACCCACACGTAATTCATTACATCCTCCTCTCCCTCTTTGCTGGGTTCTTTTTGCATTTCCCCAACTGGTTTTCTCTTTATTTTTGGTGGGTTTGTGTTGAATTTGTAAAAGAACTGATTTTTGGGGTTATTCTTTTTGCAATTCAGAACCATTCAGCAGCTGGGTTGGTGTTTAATTTGTGAAAGAACGGATTTTGGGGGTTATTTTTTGACAATTCGGAACCATTCAGCAACTGGGTTGGTGTAAAATTTTTGTGGGTTTGTGTTGGAATTGAGAAAGAGTTGATTTTTTTAAGCGATGATGCCAGCTTCAACAATTGAGCAGCATCAAGAGGAATCATCAACAAACAGTGCGATTCCGGGGAGATCTGGTCCTTTTGCAAACCTTAGAGGCGTTCAATGGCGTGTTAATCTTGGGATTTTACCTCCTTCTTCTTCAATTGATGATCTTCGCAGAGTCACGGCTGATTCTCGAAGAAGGTAACTTTACCTCAAATGATTATGTATTGACGGCTCTGTAAACTGGTTGTCTCGTACACTAGAGTTTCGGTATATATATAATTTTATTTTGGTTTCATTTCTTGTTTTTTTAGATTTCTTCAATTCTGGTTGGTCTCTTTTTAATTTCATATGCTTATATGCAAGATTTTTTTTTTTAATATAAAAGAAATTGGAATTCTTTCATAGATTCGTGCAAGAATCTTCCTCATAGACACATGTTAAGAAAATATTTTAATTAGATAAAGTGAGTGATGATTATAGTTGATGAACTGTGCTTAGATGAAATTCCTTTTGTTATGTTCATGGTTAATTTTATTGAGATTTGGTTGTCTTTGAGCTGTGGTGTTTGTGTTTAATGAGGGGTTCTGTTCTGGGGGTGGTTTATGGAGAACTAACTGGTCTTATAATTTTTTGGTTTTTTTTAAGTCGCGGTGTTACCTGTTGGCTTCTTTAAATAATCATGCTAGCTGGGTTTATGGATTTTGATTTGCTGTTTTATGTAAAATTTAATTTCAGTAGGGTTATCAGTCATGGCCAAAGCTGATAGTTGTAGTGTTGATTATCAGAATGTTTCCTATGTGATTCAGAAGCCATCTTATACTATATGAAGATGCTTTGTTGATGTCACTCGGGGTTGTAAATTTTAGACTGACTGCTTTATATGTGATGTAATATGCTGAGGGTTTATAACTTGAACATTTGCATTTTGTCAGATATGCTGGCTTAAGAAGGCGCCTGCTTGTTGATCCACATTTGCCCAAGGATGGAAGTAATTCTCCTGATCCTGTCATGGACAATCCACTTTCACAAAATCCAGGTAACATTTCTTGTTTTGCTGGGTTAAGCTTGCAAATCTTTTACGTATTTAGCACTTTTAATGGGGTACCTGTTATTAGATGCCTCAATTGTTAATACACTCTCCTTGCTTTGCTTGCCTGTGCTCTGTTTTAATCATTGCTTCATCTTATAGAATTTTTTCAATTCATTGTCATTAGATTTATCTAGGCAGTATTTGCTGTTCAATTGCTTGCATCAAAGGTTTGTGCATTGGTTGCTCTATTGGAACTCTTCGTGAATGAGACTTGGACTGTCATTCATTTAGAAAATATCTCTACTTTCTAGTGAGATTAATGGTTATCCTATGAGATACTGATGAATGAATAAAGATTTAACAATTAAGAGATAGCCTTCTCTGTTACAGTATTTCCTTAATATTTCACTACGGCAGTGATAGCAAGCTCCCAATGATGATGCTTATCTGCTCCGTATGAATTACATTATGAATTTTCCATGCAGATAGCACATGGGGTCGCTTCTTTCGGAGTGCTGAGCTTGAAAAAATGGTTGACCAGGACCTATCACGTTTATATCCAGAACATGGGAGTTACTTCCAGACACCTGGATGCCAAGGCATGTTAAGACGGATCTTGTTATTGTGGTGCCTTAGACATCAAGAATATGGTTATAGACAAGGTAAATTATATTGCTTCATGCACTGTATGTTTTATATGTGTTAAATGTCCACTCAATCGAAAAGTTTAAGATGATATATGTCCCACAACAGTATTTGAGCTCTAATTCACTATTTTATGTATCATTCTCTTGTACTTGGGACTACCTCGGCCATAACAGCTAATAAACGGAACAAACCTAACTTATTATCATTTAAGTGAGATTTAGTAGATTTGAACACTGTGTCAATTTTGGTGTTCATACCTTGTTAAATAATCATTTGACTCAAGGGCTTAAGCTAATCTGTAAAAGTTCTACAATATGAATCTATCTTTAACCTTATATATGTAAATTCTCTTGTCTTCTTCAATTTGGAGTGCAAGAAGCTGTGTATGAAGTGTTATTGTATCTGCCCCTATCAAAAGATTCAGTGTATGATGTTTGAGTCATGATAGGTTTGAGACCATTGGATGAGGGTTCCTTTATTTTATTCAAAATTTCATCCTAATTCAATGGTATACAACCACCTAGTATCCATAGTTTTCTTATTTTCTATTTAACAAAGAAATAAAGTAATAAGAATATATTAACTTCACATATCCAGTACTCTTGCCATCTGCCCTAGTATCCCTGTTATTTTCTTCCTTTTGTCAATGGCAAAGTTACTGAATGTGCTTCACACAGTCCCATCAGTAATCAGAGGAAAAGTATGTTGACTAGTCAATCGTTTGTTGGGACTTTATCCTGGAATTTTAAACGATAGCAATGCACTGAGATTAGTCTTCTGTCTCTGTGACTGTTTAAGGATCTGACGTTGTATAATATATTTGAAGCCTTTTGTTGTTAAACGTGATTCTACTTTACTAATTGTCAGTCCCTCAGTTTTACTTAAAACATGTTATTGTTATTTTATTTTTGATGTATCTGATGCAAGTTCTTTTTCAACAATTTTGACATGTTTCCTGCTCACTTTCTCTTCTTCTTTTTAAATAGGAATGCATGAACTTTTGGCTCCTTTATTATACGTTCTTCATGTTGATGTGGATCGTCTTTGTCAAGTGCGAAAGGAGTATGAAGACCACTTCACTGACAAATTTGATGGTTTAGCATTTCATGAAAATGATCTTACATATAACTTTGACTTCAAAAAGTTTATAGATTCCATGGAAGATGAGGTTGGCTCCCATGGAAATTCAGCAAAAGTTAAGAGCCTTGATGAACTTGATCCTGAGATACAGACGATTGTACTGCTAAGTGATGCATATGGGGCTGAAGGTGAACTGGGTATTGTCTTGTCTGAGAAATTTATGGAACATGATGCTTACTGTATGTTTGATGCTTTAATGAGTGGAGCCCGTGGTTCAGTTTCCATGGCAGATTTTTTTGCTCCCTCCCTTGCAGGTGGGCCCCTCACTAGCTTACCTCCTGTCATTGAAGCTTCTGCTGCATTGTACCATTTGCTGTCTATTGTTGATTCATCTTTACACAGCCATCTTGTTGAACTTGGTGTTGAACCTCAGTATTTTGGATTACGCTGGTTACGGGTCTTATTTGGACGGGAGTTTTCGCTTGAAGACCTGTTGATTATATGGGATGAGATATTCGCGTCAGACATTGGTAAAGTGAACAAAAGTGTTGAAAATGATGAAGACTCCACCTTTAAAATTCTATGTTCACCACAGGGGTCATTAATTGTGGCTATTGCAGTTTCCATGATGCTTTATTTGAGATCATCTCTGCTTGCAACTGAAAATGCAACTTCCTGTCTTCAGAGACTGTTGAATTTCCCAGAGAATGTAGATCTAGGCAAAATTATAGTCAAGGCAAAATCTTTACAGGCTCTTGCGCTGGATACCAATATTTCATTGTCACATTCTTCATTCACCGGGGCTTATAACCGGAGTAAGTCAGCAGTGGTGAGAGGACCCAACCTTCCATCTGACTCTATTTCTCCAAGAACTCCTTTAAGTGTTGTACCTGATAGCTACTGGGAAGAGAAGTGGAGAGTTCTGCATAAGGAAGAAGAAAAAAGACAAGGTAGTCCTGGAAAACAAAACCCAGCAAAGAAAAGAGGATGGTCGGAAAGAGTAAAACTGAGCCTCTCTAGAACAGAATCTGACCCATCTCCAGCAAAGGTTGGCAATGGCAAAAAGGACCTGAAGTCATCTGTTAGGCGAAGTTTGCTGGAAGATTTGTCACGGGAACTAGGTTTGGAGGAACATATTGAGAAAGCCAATTCTTGTGAAGTTTCGAACCCTAAGGAGCAACCCTCGGTTGAAGTTGAGGTTGAGGGACAAGATGATGTCATTAAGGACTTTACTTGCACATCTGATGAGAGATGTTTGAGTGGAAATGCTGGTAGTGAGGAAAACTCCTCTATATTCTCAGATCCAGCAAGTTCAGTTAGTGGTGCTCAGGACAATGAAAATGACTCAGAAAAAAGTAGTGTTGCGTCAAATTCATCTGTTGATGAAAATGATGGCCCTCCCCAGACTGTCCCAGATGATTCACCTCTTCCTGTTTCCCGTAGCCCTGATGATGTTTCTCAAGATTCTCAAATGGATAATGAATCTGCAGAAAAATCAGTGACAGGTCCCAGAGAGCGGAAGCTCCTTTTTGGTAAATTCCCATGGATTTGGAAATTTGGACGTAATGCTGGTGGTGGTGAGGAGTCATCTGAGAAAGGAGGAGGTGTGATTGAGACTAAGAAATCTGCTGATGTTGAAGGCCATCAGAGCAATGCAACAGACTCTTCAGATTCTGAAGGGTCTTTTAAGTCATCCGCTAGCAGCAGACTAGATACTGTGGACCAGAACGTGATGGGGACTTTTAAAAATCTTGGGCAGTCTATGCTTGAACAAATTCAGGTTAAATTCTACTTTTGCACTCTCATTCTTGTCGTTATAGGTTCTTCAGGGAAGATACTTTAAAATTTTCATGGAATGATTTAGACCAATGGCAGTATTCAATTCCATTTAACTTCAATCTTATGTGTTCTGTGAGGCCATTCTTAAAGAGTGAAATTGCTTGAACTTATGCAACTGCAATTTGATAGAGAAGGAAAATACTTTAAATCTATGAGGCTCATCTTTTATGTAAGATCGTTTTTCTTTTGTCTGCATGTAAAGGGTTAGCCTTGTAGATTTAGAAGTATGTGATCCTTGTATATTTAATTTAATTTTAGAGATAGGAAACAAATGCAATGGCTCGGTTAGAGATTCTAAATGTTTTTGATGTAGAATAGTCATCATGCAATAATTCAGGTAGTTGTCTCAAAGTATTTTAAGGCTTCCTATTTGCACACCCAAAATTTAGTGTTTTTAGGTTGTGAACAAAAAACTTTCTCATCCTATATAGCGGTAAACATAATCAAGTCTTTGGTTGCTGTATGAGGCAATCCATGTAGGGCGTTTTAAGGTTTTCTAAATTGTGAACAACATTAAATAGAATTAGATTTATGATTTGGTTGTAAACGAGCATTATGACATTGAATCTGAGTTTCATTCTATTATGGCATCATATAGAGGCAGAAAACCAGTATTTGAACTTCTGTTTGCATACAACTTTATTGGTCATTTTAAGAAGTAACTTCCAGATTATGATGTATAAATTTTATTGTGCTATTACTTAATCAGATCCTTATATTGATTATATGTCATACAGGTAATCGAGTCGGTCTTCCAGCAAGATCGTGGTCAGGTAGGGCCGTTGGAAAACTTCTCTAAAAATGTTATAGTCGGCAAAGGACAAGCTACAGCCATGACAGCGCTCAAAGAGCTCCGGAAAATTAGCAATCTTTTATCAGAGATGTAAGGTTTGCTTTTATTTATGTGTTTCTGTATATACATTTTGTAATTACTATATTTTTAGTGAGAAATAAATAAGAATTTTTGCTCTTTCATCCATACCCTCTTTTCGCTAATCCAAATTTCGGCATGTAAATGTGGAGCTTCTGTTGTAATCTTTCAAAAAATAAAATGTCTGATGATGCTTTATACCAGTTGCTTTCTTTTAGTGATTGTACAAAAATCAGTACTACTTATGCCCACTACATAAAAAATCCTTGGATTATTCATATATAGTTACTTCTTTTTTCTTTATTCAGATATGATTACTGGTCAGTTTCTTTTTTATATATGGTTAGAGTGAAAAATATTTATCATTGTTTTTAGAGTCAAAGAATAGACCCCCCCTAAGGTTGGATATAATAGCAAAAATCTCTTTTGAGATTTCTGAATTCTCTTCATTTCCTCTAGAATTGGGTTATCAATCAACTTGTACAAACAGGAGTCATCATATATGTATTATATAACATTCAATCACATTTTTAGTTGTTTGTCCAATATGGCAAATCTCTCTTCATTTCGTACGAACAAGCGAGCGGACACCGGAGCCGTTGCCATCAAACAACAAGGACAGATGAATTGCCATGGATATTTGCTTACTATATATCAAAGACATAATTCACGGTGGCAAGATTGATGAGTTATCTCTATAACCCTTCTAACACGTTCAAAATAAGTTTGTGGATCCATTCTTCAAATTATGGGTGGACGCTAATGTCAAAAAAACAAGACGACGTTGATTTACTCTTCTTCGACAATCCTTTTACTAATGAAATAATACAACTTCTGTCGTTGGAAAAGGGCATATTTTTCCCGACTCGGATGTTATTCTCCGACCGTCTTAACTTGTGGAGATTGTGTGATATTTGTAGTAAAGAGATGCTATCGAAATTCCATCAATATCCACACATGTAGACCTGGACAATTCAATGTCTGCAATCAAACGCTACTATAGCCTAATCGAGTCCAATGGGAATCTCTTATTGGCGCTGCTACTCGTTGGTGTGTTTTTAGGGTTTGATTTGTTGCAGAAAGAGTTGGTTGACGGTTGAAGGTGAAACAATGTCAAACCATTGGTTCGACTGCCGAGTTAGAGAACCACCTTCACGTGTCTTCTTTGTGTCGTGCACCACATGACTACCACCAATCGCATATCAACCACTCTGCCACCCACAAACACGCCTAGACCCCATCACCTCGGCCATACCATGCACCTCCAACATCACCCTTGCAACCCTCTCAACTGATCGAGCCGCCACACCCAGCCACCCGCAATCGCTAGCATGTTCTTGATTGTTGGGAGATATTGCTTTACCATACAAAATCAAAATTAGAGACAATTTTGCTTCCCTCTCTTTACTATACATACCTTTCTCATACTATTATTTGGATTAACAAGAAAAGATTTTCCTTTCTTGCTCTAGTTTTTCTTCTTTGATTTTTGGACCCTTCTACTTTCAAATTTTATATTTTTGATCTTTAACAAAGTAGCAACAAATTCACATTTAGATTATTTATTTGACTGACAGTTATTCTCAGATTTAAAGATGAAGATGGATAGAAACACCTATGGTCATGTACAATCTACTAATCCAAATTGAAGATGACACAAAGAGCATTGATGGGGTTTTACTTTACGATGTTAAAACAAACTCCAAACATAAATCTCATTTCTGATTGCCTCTTTGAGATGGTTAGCGTTTAGATTATCATCTCTCAAATTGACAATTGTTTATAAATCTTAACTATAAATTAACATTTTATACAAGATAGTTGAGTTAAAGAATTATTAAATTACTCTTTTTTCTTACATGTAGTGTGTTATGCTTGAAAATATAGGACTGACGCAGACTCAGTCAGCATAAAAAGTCAGAGCTTAGGTAGAACCGTAGTCAGTCAGAGGCAGCCATGCATGCTATGACAGGGGCGGCATGCTTACGTCAAGGTAGTGGGTGCAGGTCAGATCAGCCAGAAGTTATAGTAATTCCACGTGTCCAATCCCTGCACAAAATCGCGTAAATCACTCTGGAAGGTGGAATGGGATATAAAGAAGGATTGCACGGATAATCCCACAACTTACAGATTTAGTAATGATAACCTTAAATCCTACTATAAATTGAGGGCTCTTCTCTGTTTGTGAGATCGCATTTTACTCTTATTAGCTATTCTCTCTAAAAGAATATATAACATTCTCTCTTTTGTATAATCATTTGTAAGTCAGTCCGTTGAACGCGACCGATCACTATCATTAATACAAAATCAGGACGTAAGATTTGCTTCTTTAGCATCTGAACCACTTTAAATGTGTTCCTTATCGTTTTTACTCATTCTTTTCACCCGCGTATGTCTTCTAGACCAACTCAGCATTTCACACGTGTGCTTGATTGATGTAAAACCACGCATCAACATATGTATAAATTAAAATTATCTTTGCTCTTACATGGATTAATATCTATTAAAATCAGGCATGAACTGGACCATACTAGACCAAACCCCAAGGGGGCAAATGCAACAACTTAAAAAGAAAAATGTAAAAGCTGAGAGTCATTTGATGGATAAGGAAGTACAAGAATCAATAACTTGTAATTACATCAACTCCTTGAGCTTCTACGACAAAACCTTACACAAGATATATCCAAATTCATCCCAACCTAACCCAAATGGTGCTAATACTTTGCACCAACCAATAATACATATATGTATCAAGTTATATCTATAACAGTTTTGGGTACTTTTTTTACATTTATTTCAAAAGGAAAAACAAAAAAAGACAGATAAATTTCTTCAGCTTAGGTGTCGGTTTCAGTAAGAACTAATCTATGTTATGAAAGCCCGGGAGGAGGGAGGTGATGAAGCCGAATACAATCATCTGGATCTCTTTCACAATTCCCCACCACTGGTTACCACCATTGGCGGCAGGTTCCACTACATTCTCATTCTCAGCTGCTCGATTACCGTCATTCAGAGGCTGATTCTCATTCTCAGCTCCACCTTGTCCCTCTGCAGCAAGTTATTACAGCGGAATATGCCATAAGTTGATACTTTTTTATATAAATAACTATTTTATTCTAAAGAAACAAATGAGACAGCGTTAATTTTGTACGAGCGATTCATAAGAAAGAATATATATAGGCTCCACACTGCATATCTTTCAAAATTCAAGCTTTACACTAGTAGCAGGTCAACTCGAGATGTCAGGTTAAAATTGTTTAAGAAACCCATCATACACAATTGTTTCATAACAAAGTAGCTAAACAATGTCCCTGTAACAATATGAAGGTCAAGGGTAGCTATTTGTGTTGGCAAGTCAAATTTTGTTTGTCTTAATGTAGGGATATGCAGATACAATCAAATCCAAATACAACTGGTTTAATTAATATTTCAAGTCACTAAAATGATTACGACCTATATATGTTTGGCAGGTGTGATGGCACTTCCTCGTAACCCATGGAATAAAAAAGGTCAACTCCAATTGACAGGATCAGTTGACAAAAATTGCCCCCCATTAATTTGTTAACCCAGTTTTTAATCTATTAAAATTAAACATGAGAAGAAATGTCAGAGATATATTTATGGTTATCTTATTGCTATTTTCAGTCTTAAAAATATAAATAATTAAAACCGGTAGATTGCATATCAACCAGATTGAGGTGAGATTGTCATGAAATCAGGACAATTATGGATCAGTTTGGCAGTAGACAGGGCCAACTCTTAACTAAAAGATCTAATTATTGTGTTAGAATGATCAATCTGATTTCAATCAGGACATGACTAGACAATTACTTCAGAGTTATACAAGAAATTGAAAGTACCTGCCAAGGCAGCATTTTCATTACCCTGCCTTGCAGCACCAGGAGCATTTTCAGCTCTGACAGCAGGCCTAGGTGGATGGGGTGGCTGTGCCGCCCTCTGCATGCTTTGTGAAAGCCACCGGAGTAATGGTGTCAGAGCTCCAGTCTGATATCTGTAACAACCAGGCTTAAAAATTTCACTTTCTACTCATGGATCTGGATAAATTGACAATGATATACATAAAAAAGTCCACAGAAATAAAAACAGAATTCCAAATAGAGTAAAAGGGAAAAGAACAGTACATAAAAAAATGCATCTAGATTAATTCAATGTATGGAAGTCTAATATACTGTTTCATGTAGTAATGCTTTATGCAGAAAAAAATAAAAATTACTCATGATTTGAAAAATTGTCGCCATGTTTGTCTACTCTATTACCTTTTTAAGTTTCTTCTTTTTTTATTAAATTGGATACAAGATAGTTTGGTCATTCTAACGAAAGAATAGATTTGCTTCGTTATCCACCACGTACTCGGTTAAGAAAATAGGTGGAGAACAACTCATAGGTGACAGAAGCCGTACAGAAATTTCTCAAAATTGAAAAAAGAAAAATAAGAAATTAGATGCTTACAAGTAGATAAGTGAAGCAAAAAGCACGAGGACAATTAGCCTTAGTCTTGAACCATCTTGGTTGAGCACAAAAATTACAGCTGCCAGCTTTAATATCAGCAACAAATCAAGCTGAAATGCAATTTGAAATCTCCTTACAACAACTTGTCGTTGACGAGCGGGCTGTTGCTGTTGATTTTGTTGATCTTGCTCTCCCTGTCCATGCTCTGCACCCGCTGCCCCAGCCTCAGTACTTGCTCTAGTACTATAGATGGCCATGTGCAACCAACGTAGAGAAGATATAATAATTTATATGACATTTTAACGAAATAATTATGCAAGAGAATTTCCCAGGAGCAACACATGCAACTGCGGAGTAGGTTTCTATAATATTGCAAAGGTGGAACATTATGCTTTCATGAGGAACATGGGACATCCTCTTTCAATATAAACAGACAGAAAAACACAAAATTGCTTTTTAAGTTGTTATAATGGGATAATTATCATCCTGCACCTGATTAGAACTCCTGATTAGCTAGGCCTTAAAGCCCCACAGCATTTTTCACTAACATGGTTACACTAAGTCATGGTCTACTCTTCACTTTCTCTTGTTTCCTTCTAGAATATGTAGTTCTCTTTTCCTATAGCATAGAGCCTTTGGTACTTATGAAAGAATATTGCAAACGGCATTCCATTTCAAAACGGATCCATGCTTGGATCAATTGTTCCAAACTGAATATCAATCAGGGGATTATGACAACTCCATCATAGAACTTTTATCTTATTTAGTAACAAGCAAACACCTTTCACTTATCACCTCACAAGTAAAACCAGCAAAGTGTTGAAAGTGTTTTCACTAAGACATCAAGTTATATTCAGCTACATCATCATCACCATATTCAACTTAGCAAAGCCTTAATTCCAAATTACACCCTGCCACATATTGTATAACCTGCTCTTTGGCTAGCCTTGTCCTTGGTATAATGACAATTTGAAAGAAATTAACCTCTGTTATTGATACAATCACAGGAAGATTGCAATTGTTATTTTCAAAGGTTAAGACAGCTACAAGCACAGCACACCAATGGTTAATGCATTATTGGTTTTACAAAGTCATTAAGTTCTCAGTTTCTTGTCCTCTGGCTGGCAGATTTCCTTTCCTTACAAAATATGGTAATATGGTTCAATAAAATAAAAGTTTTCAACCCCCAAACCCTCATTTTTGTTCTTTTTGGAACAGAGAAAAACCAAAACAAAATATTCATACTTATATCTCAATGTAATTCACATTCTTCATTCTTGAAGGACAAATTGACGTAGAATATTGTATGAGACATCGCTGCTCTACAGCTAGTAGATGAAAGAACATACAAAGGCAGCAAATATAGGATGAGAAAGGAGAAAACAGACCTACTTCTAAATACATCATTTCTGAGAGCACATTCGGAATAACAGATTTTAAGTGCTAGGTCAATTCAAACATTCACAAAATTCCTAGCAAGGAAAAAAAGGGCTATGCATTTATATTCCACTGAAAGGAGTGAGATGTTCTATACCAATAACCGATGCGGTTCAAGAGTGCAAATGGAAAAACCCACAAATCAAGAATGAAAGAAATTTACATTAAGACAAACAATAGAGAAGTTGAATCACTTGTTTGACGCAGATGTACTTACGTGGGTATATTGTAGGTAAGTGGGATAAGAGTGTTTGAAGGAATTCCAGTATACGGCAGAACAGGGATAGCATAAATGCCAGCCCCACGATTTGCCTGTTGTTGATTTTCCCAAGGATTAAACCCTCCTGCTACTGCAGGGTACATCACTGGAAACATATCTAAATCACCATTTCCAAAACCCGAGAAACCAGAAAATGCTGGAACCTGACATAACCAAAATTAATCAAACACAAATCATACACCAAAAAAATTAAAAAAAAAAAGAAAGTTTCCACCTCATTATAAGTACAATTAAACTTCTTAAAATGGACGAGTGATTCTAAATCCCATAGTCGATACCGGGCTAAATTCGTCTACTAGTGAAGAAAAATTGTCATCCCTAGTGAAGATTCCCTTACCCTTTACTAATGGTCGATAAAGTTCAAAACTGGAGTCAAAGTAACTTGTTACCCCAGTAACATTACCAAAATGGTGTTAGTTCTCATATTTTGTTTTCAATACAAGTTCAGCATTGAATATAACAATTCTTTTCACATAATAGCAAAAACATTCCATGTTAGAGGAATTTGCTGTTCCAGTAACATTACCACAATTTAGCATTACCTTCAATATAAACCGATAACACGAAATGAAAACCCTAAACGACAGATCTTTATGGAAACAAAAGGAAAGTGAAACAATTGAGATGCAAAAATGGAGTAATTAAACCAACAAAAAACTTTAAGAACTAGTAATTAAAATCGAAATTAAAGTTTTATTGGAAACCTGCGGTTGCTTTAGATTGGGTTTGGGCGGCGATGATGTAGAGGACGGTTGTTGATTTGAGTTTGATGCCGACGACGAAGACGACGAAGACGTCGTTTCAGATCCCTCTTCCATTTCGATTATATCGTGTTGTCTGTTGGGAGAGATGAAATTGTTCAATCTTATATTTGTTTCTATTTTACGGAAGATTAATTCAATACGTGTATTTTCGACTTTCAGCCAATAGGGACATACCACGTAAGATGAAGTGATATCGTAAATAGTCTGAATTTCATATGATAGTAAAGACCGTCATTTTCTTAAAGAAAACACATTTTTATAAAAATAATTTTTTTTAATAAATGTCATTCTCACTGAAGTCCTTAATTTAGTTTCAAAATTAAGGTTATTGCATAAGAGGGAGATTTAAATTGATTTGCCAGCAAAAAAAAATTTAAAAATTGGAAAAATATAAATTTCTACATCATCTATCATAATGTTGACCAATACAATTGAACCCCTCTTAATTTTTTTTTTAATCTTTTTTGATGATCAGGATTAGCTTGCACACATCTCAACTAATCTTTTGAGATCTTAAAACTACCAACCGAGTAAGATCTCCAGTGGTCACTCCTATTAGGGGCTACGAAGACTCGAACTTGGGAGGTCATGTAAACTTAAATCTCTTTACTCTTTTACTGTCAGACCACTTAGTATGTTAACTCCCCTTAAATTTGCCCACAACTAATAGATTTTTTTTTTTTTCTTTATGAGTTATACTATCCTAACTTAATATGGGCACTAATTAATAGTTATTGTAAATCATAATTCACATGTTTTAAAAGATAAAAGCAATGTTTTAATAACCAATCCGGGGTAAAACCCAGCAAAATTGTCGGGTCTCGGGTTGATTGACTTGATTGGCCAGTCAAACCGAGTGGCAAAAAAATTAAAATTAAATAAATACACCCCTAAAAACTACAAGTCTCTACAAGTTTGAAATTTAGCAAATACACCTCAAATACAAATCGGCGACTGATTGGTTGGCGGCGGCGACACACCAAATGCAATCTCAATCATCCCTTGAGCCCATTCCTCAGAAAATATACCCAATATCTGACGATTTCGGCCAGATCTCGCTGACGTCGACGTCGACATTCTAGGCAAGATCTTACCATCGTCGACGTTAACAATCCTCTCCATCATCACGAAAATACTTCCCTCAGCCTCTTGACTACAACCCACCTCACCTTACCCTTGTTAGCCTCGCCAATTGTTGGTAAAAGCCGACTGTTGTCATCGGCTTTTTTTTTTTCTTCCGATTTTCGGTTGATTCACTCACCAAAAATCAACTCTGTCGTCATCATTGTACTCACCGAAACTTTCTCTTCAAAAGCCCCAACATCCTAGCCTTAAATTGTTCACCGATCATCATTCCAATTTATAAGGTTTTTGGTGAATAGTAAAATGGGTAATCTGGCCCGGTGAAAACCCGAGGTCCCCGTTCAACTAGTTCAACCGGCCGGGCTGGGTTTTAAAACACTGGTTAAAAGTGTAAAACTATGTGAGTTGATTTTATTATTCTTAATGACAATATCGAGGTTTTGTTCTCTAAGCATATTCAATGCCATAAATTTAAGTAACTCTAGATTATGCTAAACCATGTATTAGACCATATAGAATAGCATTTAACAAAATGATTAAAACATGTTACACAATGCAGGATAAACGTATTTTTTATTATTTTTTTTCTTCATATTTTTCACTAAGAACAATGAAGTAAACTTATATGGTTTTATGGTTATTATAGTATAAACAAAATTTTAGTACTTTGATCTTTTGAAGCATTGAGATGAGTATCTAAAAGATTTTTTGCTAAGTAATCTGATGTTCACGTCCAATCTTGCCTTCTTAGTTCTTAGCTTCATAAAAACTTAGATACTGCCATGTTGGGTTTGTGAGATTGGTTTTTCAGCATAATATTTTTCTTTATTTGATTCACCATACATTAGATAAGTTTTGATTAAAAAAAAAAACCTTGTTATTTCTTCAAATTAGTAAGATGGAGGTGTTTCCAGTAGAGTATGTTTTTGTGTGCTTGCACAAGCCTAAGGAGGAAGATCTCGTATGCTTGTAGATTCCATTATGAAATAGAGTAATAACTTGAGGATGGACTAATTGCAATGGGTGAAAAATTGTACATTCCTGTGAAAATGTTCTTTACAAGGAGTTGTTTTGGGAGATGTATAAGCCTTAACCCTGGTATATTTAGCTGAAGGATTGTTGGAGTACTCATATTAATGGTTTTAGATGTTAAACAATGTACAAGTGTGAATGTTGTTAATATGAATTGCCTAATCTAGGCAGATCGTGACAATCGGTTTCACTGGATTTTATTACAAACTTAATAAAGGTGAATGATACCTTGGTTAATTGTAGCAATGGTATGCAATCTTCTTGCATTTATCATGTGCTTGCCCAATGGACAATGATAATAGAGTTGTTTTTCAAGTACATTGTGAAATACTTTGGAATACTAAAAGACATATCGATGATCACGATGTTCAAATTTAAGGCTTAATCTGGTGAGCAATTTTTGGCACTTAGGGGATAGAATTGATATATTCTACTCCTCAAATTAATAGGCAAACTAAGTGGGTATATGTAACATTACGTGACAATAAGTTAACGAATTGGGCTAATTACTTGATGCGTCTCTCAATATAGCTTGCAACATCTATGGACCCTCAAGACATCGTTGAGTCTTGTAGAGTCCGTTATGGGTAGTGACCATTAACTCCGCTGAGAATATTGAAGAAAGGTGCCAAGTGTAAACATTTCCTATATATACTATGCTGATGATGAACTGTAGTCATGAGTCCTAACAATTTAAGGGTTTTGTGTGCTTTGGCAGTAGCAAAAGAAAAAACACAACGGGAATTTCTAGCGAAAATGCCACAAAAACATCCCAGAACAAACATGGGGACATCTATTTAATTATTTTGAAACTAAATCGTATACTAAAAATAATTACAACTATTAAGTTATCAACTGGAATGAACACAACAGTAAATATGAAAACTTCTTATCAAGTAGGGGGTGAGTTTGACAGAGCAGAATAAATCTAATATTACCCAATTCGCAACCCCAACTATTTCATGGTTTGCCTATGTACATCATTGCGCTTGCTCAAGTTGTGTCACCCAACAAATTCTTTCACTCTAATCTCCAGGCATCTCGAAGGGTGAGCTAGCCTGCATATCCCAACCAACAACAAAAACATTACAAAAGAAAATGGATCATCCTGCAGAACATTTCTCATAAAGTTATCAAAAGAATAAGAACAATTACATCAGTCTGCTAATGTTACATAGCCAGTAAGTTAGTATCAACTTTAAAAGTTCAAGTGCTTGCAATGGATTCGATCTGAGCAATCGAAAAACCAATGATTTGGAAGTTGTACATTTTCATGTTTGAAATCATAAGCAACGTAAAAAGCCATAATGATATTTGACCAAGAAACAATTATAATATACCTAGTTTGAGTAGACTAGAAGTACCAGCCTTAACTTAAGTAAATGACCTGAGTCCCATCTCCAAAAAATTCCCAGTCATTCAAGACGAATGCATCAATATTGGAAAAGAAAGCACTTACAATCGAAACTGATCCTGTCAAAGAGGATGCAGCTCATCGTTCCTCATCCTCAGGTTGAGATGTGCTTTCAGAATCTGGCAACACCTCCACCTTTATCTCTCTCGGCTCCCCATCCTCTTTCAACTTTTCCACCTCAATATCCATCTTTGCCAAATCTGCAGGTAAAACAGCGATGGTTTAAAATCATAAAATATTCAAACTAATAATCTTTTTATTTTCTTTTTTGATAAAACAACTAAATAACAACCTTCAGATGGATCAATGCAAATTATTAACTACAACATGGCATTGCAAACTAGTGAACAATTTGTTCTTTTGCTAAGAATTTATGAAGATTCATATGTACATAATGTAATATCCCTGATCACTGGAGTTGGTTTCCTTAGAGCCGTTGGGATATAAAATGCTACCTTATTCATGACTCAGGCCTCATGCTTAAGGTTAAGTAGTAACCCCTTCACCATAGGGGTGGCTGATTAAGATTTAAGCACCAATACCCAATAAAATTGGAAATCAGAGAAGAAATTGCTAGAGGGTTCAAAAATGGACCTTCATCAAGTCACCAAGAAAATGCCAATATTTTAATTGAATTTTTTACGACACTAATCCAAAACAAAATTCAAGGAAATCTTAATTACTCTCCTGATCATTAACAATCCAAAAAACAAATTCTCAAACAATAGTAAGGAAAATTTAATCTCTCATTGTCATTAAAAAAATAGCCTTAAAAATAGTATTTTTATTTTGTTTTTTCTTGCAATTTCCATCGAATTAAGCATTATTATACAAATTTTATGTTAAAATCATGGGTCCTTTAAGCTTAAAGCAAACAAAATATAAAATTTTGAAGATATAAATGGATGAAATTTATTTTTCTGCTGCAAACAAATTCATAAAATAAAAATGGGTGCTATTCATGTAAAGTCGTCCATGATTCTTCAATCCATTAGATCACAAGTTCATATTAACAGAATATCATCACAATTTTATTCAATCCAAATTTAAAGAGAAAACTTTAAACAGATCCATTAGTATAATCAAAATGTCAGTTATACCTTCGAGCAAAAAGGAGGAGCACGGCCAGCCACGAACAGTTGTGAGCGAGAGCGTCTCTTCTTCAGTCAGCTGATTCGCCAACTTACTCATCCAATCAACGATCGTGTTCGGCCGCCGCTGCGGCGGCACCCAAAACGACCATCCCGGCATAAACGGCAGCCAATCCGGCGTCGCCTTCTGCACGATTATCTTCTGGACTATATCCTCCAGCTTCTTGATCGCCAATCTATCCGCTTCACTCTCGCCGCCCGATGCGGTGGAGGACGATGAGTCGAGGTCAATTTCGATCAGCTGAGCCTTGAATGAATGGTGGCGAGTTTGAGCGAGGAGAATCGAGGGTGGAGATTTGAGGTATCGATGGCGGTGTAAGGCTTGAGGAATAATCCTAGCCATAGATTTGATAATAAGTTTAAAGATTTAATTTTAAGTCAAGTGCTTGAAAGTTCACATGTTTTTATTTATACTGATGGGGGTGAAATTCTGTACGATAGCGGATGATGAGGGGGCACGTGGTCTGAAGGGAAGTGAGCACAATGTCACGTGATCATTGGAGCAACTAAAGGAGATTTTCTGTTGTTGTTAGTTGATAGGTCTATATTATTATAAAAAAATAAAAAGCACATACACCAATATATATATATATTTTTTTGAAGTAAATTTATTTAACTTTATATCTTTTTATAATTGTAAAATAAAGAATGTGCTATTTAAGAGAAAATGAAAAAAAAAGTTAATTAATTGATAAGAACGTAAAGTGTAGCACCAAAAAGTTGCACTCTCTGTTTTCCTTCTAGAAATGTAGTTCTCTTTTCCTATAGCATAGAGCCTTTGGTACTTATGAAAGAATATTGCAAACGGCATTCCATTTCAAAACGGATCCATGCTTGGATCAATTGTTCAACTGAATATCAATCAGGGGATTATGACAACTCCACATAGAACTTTTATCTTATTTAGTAACAAGCAAACACCTTTCACTTATCACCTCACAAGTAAAACCAGCAAGTGTTGAAAGTGTTTTCACTAAGACATCAAGTTATATCAGCTACATCATCATCACCATATTCACTTAGCAAAGCCTTAATTCCAAATTACACCCTGCCACATATTGTATAACCTGCTCTTTGCGAGCCTTGTCCTGGATAATGACAATTTGAAAGAAATTAACCTCTGTTTTGATAAATCACAGGAAATTGCAATTGTTATTTCAAAGGTTAAGATACGCACAGCACAGCACACCAATGGTTATGCATTATTGGTTTTACAAAGTCATTATTTCTCAGTTTCTTGTCCTCTGGCAGATTTCCTTTCCTTCAAAATATGGTAATATGGTCAATAAAATAAAATTTTTCAACCCCCAAACCCTCATTTTTTTTCTTTTTGGAACAGAGAAAACCAAAACAAAATATCATACTTATATCTCAATTAATTCACATTCTTCATTCTTGAGGACAAATTGACGTAGAATATGTTGAGACATCGCTGCTCTACAGCTAGTAGATGAAAGAACATACAAAGGCAGCAAATATAGGATGAGAAAGGAGAAACAGACCTACTTCTAAATACATCATTTCTGAAGCACATTCGGAATAACAGATTTTAAGTGCTAGGTATTCAAACATTCACAAAATTCCTAGCAGGAAAAAAAGGGCTATGCATTTATATCCACTGAAAGGAGTGAGATGTTCTATACCAATACCTGATCGGTTCAAGAGTGCAAATGGAAAAACCCACAAATCAAGAATGAAAGAAATTTACATTAAGCAACAAATAGAGAAGTTAATCACTTGTTTGACCAGATGTACTTACGTGGGTATATTGTAGGTAAGTGGGTAAGAGTGTTTTGAAGGAATTCCGTATACGGCAGAACAGGGAAGCATAAATGCCAGCCCCACGATTTGCCTGTTGTTGATTTTCCGCGATTAAACCCTCCTACTACTGCAGGTACATCACTGGAAACATATCCATCACCATTTCCAAAACCCGAGAAACCGAAAATGCTGGAACCTGACATAACCAATTAATCATACACCAAAAAATTAAAAAAAAAAAAGTTTCCACCTCATTATAAGTACAATTAAACTTCTTAAAATGGACGAGTGATTCTAAATCCCATAGTCGATACCGGGCTAATTCGTCTACTATAAGAAAAATTGTCATCCCTAGTGAAGATTCCCTTACCCTTTACTAATGGCGATAAAGTTCAAACTGGGTCAAAGTAACTTGTTACCCAGTAACATTACAAAATGGTGTATTTCTCATATTTTGTTTTCATTACAAGTTCAGCATTGAATATACAACTCTTTTCACATTAGCAAAAACATTCCATGTTAGAGGAATTTGCTGTTCCAGTAACATTACCAAATTTAGCATTACCTTCAATATAAACCGATAACGAAATGAAAACCCTAAACGACAGATCTTTATGGAACCAAAAGGAAGGGAACAATTGAGATGCAAAAATGGAGTAATTAAACCAACAAAAAACTTTAAGAACTAGTAATTAAAATCGAAATTAAAGTTTTATTGAACCTGCGGTTGCTTAGATTGGGTTTGGGCGGCGATGATGTAGAGGACGGTGTTGATTTAGTTTGATGCCGACGACGAAGAGACGAGACGTCGTTTCAGATCCCTCTTCCATTTCGATTATATGTGTTGTCTGTTGGAAGAGATGAAATTGTTCAACTTATTTGTTTCTATTTTACGGAAGATTAATTCAATACGTGTATTTTCGACTTTCAGCCAATAGGGACATACCACGTAAGATGATTGATATCGTAAATAGTCTGAATTTCATATGATAGTAAAGACCGTCATTTTCTTAAAGAAAACACTTTTTATAAAAATAATTTTTTTTATAATGTCATTCTCACTGAAGTCCTAATTTAGTTTCAAAATTAAGGTATTGCAAAAGGGAGATTTAAATTGATTGCCAGCAAAAAAAATTAAAAATTGGAAAAATATAAATTTCTACATCATCTATCATAATGTTGACCAATTTGAACCCCTCTTAATTTTTTTTTTTAATCTTTTTTTGATGATCAGGAGTAGCTGTTGCACACATCTCAATAATCTTTTGAGATCCTAAAACTACCACCAGTAAGATCTCCAGTGATCACTCCTATTAGGGGCTACGGAACTCGAACTTGGAGGTCATGTAACTTAATCTCTTTACTCTTTTACTGTCAGACCACTTAGTAGTTAACCCCCTTAAATTTGCCCACAACTAAAGATTTTTTTTTTTTCTTTATAGTTATACTATCCTAACTTAATATGGGCACTAATTATAGTTATTGTAAATCATAATTCACATGTTTTAAAAGATAAAAGCAATGTTTAATAACCAACCGGGTAAAACCCAGCAAAATTGTCGGGTCTCGTGTGATTGATTGATTGGCCAGTCAACCGAGTGCAAAAAAATTAAAATTAAATAAATACCCCCTAAAAAACTACAAGTCTCTACAAGTTTAAATTTAGCAAATACCCTCAAATACAATGGCGACTGATGGTTGGCGGCGGCACACAACACCAAATCAATCTCAATCATCCATTGAGCCCATTCCTCAAAAATATACCCAATATCTGACGATTTCGGCCAGATCTCCGACGTCGAGTCGACATTCTAGGCAGATCTTACCATCTCGACGTTAACACCTCTCCATCATCACGAAAATACTCCCCAGCCTCTTGACTACAACCCACCCCACCTACCCTTGTTAGCCTCGCCAATTGTTGGTAAAAGCCGACTGTTGTCATCGCTTTTTTTTTTTTTCCATTTTCGGTGATTCACTCACCAAAATAACTTGTCGCATCATTGTATCACCGAAACTTTCTCTTCAAAAGCCCCAACATCCTACCTTAAATTGTTCACCGATCATCATTCCAATTTATAAGGTTTTTGGTGAATAGTAAAATGGATAATCTGGCCCGGTGAAACCCGGGTCCCTTCAACAGTTCAACCGGCGGGCGGGTTTTAAAACACTAAAAGTGCAAAACTATGTGAGTTGATTTTATATTCTTAATGACAATATGAGGTTTTGTTCTCTAAGCATATTCAATGCCATAATTTAATAACTCTAGATTATGCTAAACATGTATTAGACATATAGAATACATTTAAACAAATATTAAACATGTTACACAATGCAGGATAAACGTATTTTTTATTATTTTTTTTCTTCATATTTTTCACTAAGAACAATGAAGTAAACTTTATGGTTTTATGGTTATTATAGTATAAACAAATTTTAGTACTTTGATCTTTTGAAGCATTGAGATGAATCTAAAAGATTTTTGCTAATAATCTGATGTTCAGTCCAATCTTGCCTTCTTAGTTCTTAGCTTCATAAAAACTTATTGATCAAATACTGCCAGTTGGGTTTGTGAGATTGGTTTTTCACGATAATATTTTTTTATTTGATCACCAACATTAGATAAGTTTTGATTAAAAAAAAAAAACCTTTTATTTCTTCAAATTAGTAAGATGGAGGTGTTTCCGTAGAGTATGTTTTTGTGTGCTTGCAAGCTAAGAGAAGATCTCGTATCTTGTAGATTCCATTATGAATGAGTATAACTGAGGATGGACTAATTGCAATGGGTGAAAAATTGTACATTCCTGTGAAAATGTTCTTTACAAGGAGTTGTTTTGGGAGATATATAACCTTAACCCTGGTAATTTAGCTGAAGGATTGTTGGAGTATCATATTAATGGTTTTAGATGTTAAACAATGTACAAGTGGTATGTTGTTAATATGAATTGCCTAATCTAGCAGTCGTGACAATCGGTTTCATGGATTATTACAAACTTATAAAGGTGAAGATACTTGGTTAATTGTAGCAATGGTACCATAGTACAATCTTCTGCATTTACCATGTGCTTGCCCAATGGACATGTAATAGATTCAGTAATTTGTGAAATACTTTGAATACTAAAAGACATATCGATGATCACGATGTTCAAATTAAGGCTTATCTGGTGAGCAATTTTGGCACTTGGGGATAGAATTGATATTTCTACTCCTCAAATTAATAGGCAAACTAAGTGGGTATATGTACATTAGTGACAATAAGTTAACAATTGGGCTAATTACTTGTCGTCTCTCATATAGCTTGCACATCTATGACCCTCAAGACATCGTTGAGTCTGTGAGAGTCCGTTATGGGTATTGACCATTAACTCCGCTAGAATATTAAGAAAGGTGCCAATGTAAACATTTCCTATATATACTATGCTGATGATGAACTGTAGTCATGAGTCCTAACAATTTAAGGGTTTTGTGTGCTTTGGCAGTAGCAAAAGAAAAAACACAAGGGGAATTCTAGCGAAAATGCACAAAACATCCCAGAAACAGAACTGGGGAAATCTCACAACTTAAAAAGAAAAATGTAAAAGCTGAGAGTCATTTGATGGATAAGGAAGTACAAGAATCAATAACTTGTAAT